CTGCAATTGGAGTCACCACCTGATTAAGTTTACGATAATCTACTGTCATTCTCCAAGATCCATCTGTTTTCTGCACAGGCCAAATAGGTGAATTAAATGGGAATGTAGTGGGAATCACCACCCCTGCATCCCTCAACTCCTTGATGGTGGCAGTAATCTCTACAACCCTTCCAGAGATATGGTACTGCTTTTGGTTTACTATTTCTGTAGGTAGAGGCAGTTCTAAGGGCTTCCACTTGGCTTTTCCTACCATAATAGCCCTTACTCCACATGTCAGGGAGTCAATGTGGGAATTCTGCCAATTGCTCAGTATATCTACTCCAATTATGCATTCTGGCACTGGGGAAATCACTACAGGATGGGTTCGGGGACCCACTGGGACCACTGAGATGCACCTTAGCTAAGACTCCATCAATAACTTGACCCCCATATGCCCCCACTCTGACTGGTGGGCCACAATGACGCTTTGGGTCTCCTGGAATTACTGTCAACTCAGAGCCAGTGTCCAGTAATCCCTGAAAAGTCTGATTATTTCCTTTTCCCCAATGAACAGTCACTCTCCTAAAAGTCAGATCCCTTTGGGGAAGGCTAAGAGAAAGATTGACAGTATAGATTTTTGGCAATGTAATGGGGTCCTTCCTCAGAGGGACCTGGCCTCCCCTTCATTCAAGGGGTTGTGGGTCTGTAAACTGACTCAAGTCTGGGAATTGATTGAGAGGTCGTGACTCTGTATTCTGGTGATTCAATCTAGGTTGCTGTTCACATGACCTAGAATTCTTCTGTCTATACAGATCAAGTAAATATTTAGTAGGCTTGCCATGTATTTCACTACTAGGAACACCATGAGCAAGTAGCCAATGCCATAATTCCATGTGTCAGACTATTCTGATTACTGTTCTGACTCTGCTGTCCATTATGGTAACCACACCCACCTTGCCTTTGTCGATTAGCTGCTGCTACTTGGCCCCTACTACTGTGGGGTCCAATCAGCCCCATCATAGTTAAGTATCTTAGTTCAATTAAGGCAGTTCCCACTGTCAAATCAGGTTTACATAAAATAGCAATCACAGCAGTCTTCAAGAATGCTGGAGCTCCCTTCACAAATTTATTCCTCACGGTACTGGTGAAAGGCGTGTCTTCTGGACTCTCATTTCTGGCTCTAGGGGTTGAATCTGATAAATCCATTCTAACAGGCCAATTTCCCTAAGCCTCTGGATACCTTCTTCTAGGTATCCAGAAGACAGGTCTGGTACTTCAACTTGACTTAAGGTAGGCCACCACATATTCCATGCCTCAGTAAGCCAACCAAATAAACTATTAGATCCTTTCCTAACGTCTTGAGCTGAAACATTGAATGAAGAATCTGTACTTAGTGGGGCTAAATGAATAAACTCAGACTGATCCAATCTTACATTCCTTGCACCATTATCCCACACCCTCAGTAGCCATTCTCATACATATTCTCCTGGTTTCGGTCTGTACATGTTAGCAAAATCAAGTAGGTCTTTTCAGATATAGCATACCACCTCCTCAGTCACACTTTCTGTTTCACCGTTTGGGGCTCGCTTGGACTTAACTTTAGTTATAGGTCTAGCAGCAACAATGGATGGTTGAGGCAGTTCCTGAGAGCATTCAGGAATGTCTTCCATGGCCTCTGCCTCAGGTAATGACCCAGCAGGACCAGGTTTGGCTAGTACCATCAAACTGAAGGGGAGGGGATAATGGTTTTACAGTAATCCATTCAGATGGGAGGGATTCAACAGAATTTACAGGCTCCATATCCTGATCTTCCTGATTATCTCTCCCCATGTTCCCATTCCAGGTTTCAGGATCACATTTTTTTCCAATCAATGCCCTCACTTTAACATCAGACACCATTCTGGATCAGCAATTTAATTGGCATTGTAATTCAGCCACCCTTACAATAAGACTCCGGGTTTGGTTTTCAGCAATATCAGCTCTGTTACTAGAAGATATAAGGCTTTCTTTCAAGCACAACTGGAAGTACTGGGGTCTTTTATGCAGCGCTTAAGCCGAGACTCAGCAGCTCTGAGCTCATCTCACTCTTTCACCACTTTGTCTAGTGTAAGTAGGACCAACCAACCAGCTTCCTTATACTCCTCATGCTGACAATTTGCAGAAAAGTATCAAATATCCGATCATCCAGAGCATCACTTCTCACAAGTACTTGATCTATTGGTGGTGCTATTTCACGTATTAATGCCGCCACCTCACGCCATGGATTAGCAGGGCCCTCTTTACTAACAGACGCAGGGTCACTAGTGTCTTTAAGATTAATCAAATTGGAGAACCAATTTAGGAAGCCCATCCTTATGATTTTGTCTATCTAGAACCACTCCCGGTACCAAATGTGTTAGACTGGGTTCTCTAGAGAAACAAAAACCAGTAAAGCTTATATATTTGTAGAGAGAGAAAGAGAGAAATTTATCTTAGGAAAATGGTTCACACACTTATAGAAGCTGGCAAGTCCAAAGTTCCTGGATCAAACGTCAAGCTGGAGGCTTTTCCTGGCTCTTACAACTGCAGGGGCTGAGGAGCTCAAGGTCGGCAGGCAGTACACTAGCTGTTGACTCCAATGAATGATGAATCCAAAATCTCTAGGCCAAATGGTGGACTTTTCACTCACGGACAGTTGTAGGCAGCACAACAGAATCCCGATCCACAGAAGAATGTCTCTCTTCCCAGGATGTCCTTGGATATAATAGAAGCAGGCCACACCCCTAGGAAAACTCCCTTTCAACAGATTGCCCATTCAGAACATAGTCATCTGGTCTCATCACGGGAACAACCACACCACAACAGCTCAAACCACACAGAACTGTGATCCAGCCAAATTGACACACAGCTCCAATTATCACAAGAACTATATCCTGAGTTGTTCCTGATCCTGAATTACAACCTGTTACTTCACTAACAAACCCCATAATCATAAGTATTGTTTGTGAGTTCTGTGTGGCCATTATCAAACCCAGAAGAGAAGTAGAGAGTGCCATGGGAGGGACAGTTGGTGTCAGAACTGGTAAAAGGAAAAGGCTGAAGAATGGATGTGTATCTGACCTCCACTTCACAGGAATCAGCTTCAGATGCTGATATGATTCTTGTAAAGTTGTAAAGTTCAACAGGATGTGTGATACTGCCACCATGCCATCTTTACACATACTGAGGAGAATGATCAGTTAATCCACTGAAACTAACTCACAACTGGCATATGTGTCAAAATCGGCAAACAAGGATATTTAAAAAGTTAAAAATTTTCCCTGTGTTCAAAAAGTTAAATGTGTGTGTGGTTTTGTATGTGTGTCTATACAAGGAGTTCTGGTGGCACAGTGTCTAAGGCATTTGACTGCTAATCAGAAGGTTGGCGGCTCAAACCCACCAGCCACTCCACAGAAGGAAGAATGGGAAATCTACTTCTATAAAGATATGCTACCATGGAAACCAAATGAGGGTCACTATGAGTAGGAATTAACTTGATAGCAATAGGTTTGGTTGTTTTTTTATTGGTGTGTATATATAATATTTTAAATTTATGAAAAAAATGCAAATACTATTTCTACAGATAAAAAGTCTGAAATGAAAACTATACTGGATAAGATTAAGGCAGATTAGGCGAAGCAGAAGAAAAGATTAGTGAATTTGAAGCCCTAGCAATAAAAATGATCCAAAATGAAACACAGCAAAATAATCCAAAAAGTTAAAAAAGCAACAGTGAGCTGTAGGACAACAATTGGCCTAATGTACAGATACCTGGAGTATCCATAGGAGCACAGAGTGAGGAGACTGAAAACATACTTATAAAGAGCTGACAACTTTACATTCTTGATTGGAAAAAAAAAAGAAAACCTCACTGCCATCAAGTCAGTTCCAATTCATACTGACCCCAATCAGGCTTCCGAGATGGTAACTGTTTACAGAAGTAGTTGCCCACTCTTTCTACCACACAGCAGCTGGTGGGTTTGAACTGCCAACCTTCTGGTTAGCAGTCAAATGCCTTAGGGACTACACCACCAGAGTTCCTATTCCATTCTTTTTTTTT